GTCAAAAAGATGTAAAAGAATTTATATTAAAACTAAAACAATATGAATGCTAATAAATTGATAATTTTCATTTTAAAATCTCATCTTGAGACGTTTATTAAATCGTGAAAGGTTTCATAAAATACATTTTAACTTTTACTATAATATTAGAATGAAAATATTCATTTTTCATTCTTTCTTTCTGTAATATCTCGCAGTTTTTTCTTTACCTTTGAACGGTTATTTTAATGAATACTTTCTTTGAAGTCTCTAATTGGTCTTGAAAGTTATTGGAGCGCTCTTATATTGCATGTTTCTATTGAAATTACAATTTTACATGCCTTTGTGAATATATTCATTTGTTATGTCGAAAGGGTATACAATTATACGTGAAGGGGTAACATAATCTTTTTGTAAATAAAACGTAATGTATGTTTGTTTTCCGCATTCCATGTAAAACAGGAGTATAATAATGCGTTTATATGTAACTTCAGGCTTCGTGGAGAACCTAACGGGTTGCGGCTCCGGTTCAAAGCGCAGATACGGGTTTAGTTAGTTAGACCTGACACTCTCTTGCCTCACATAAGGCGTGAGAAGTCCTTGGATGTCATTTCCCTTTCAAAAAAATGCTTCGTATTATTATTGAAAAGTACCTCCAATTTTTTAATCTTTAGCATCTATGGTGAGGGCAGAGTAGTATACTACATACTATTTTCTAAAAAAGCCGTAAGAGACTAGTAGAAGGTCGTACTAGTCCATTCACATTTCACATTTGACAAAAACCGGGAGGGAAGGCTCTCTGATAATCTTAAACCTTTTAAACTGTGAATGATCTTCAACCCGCGGGCAACGCGCGTAGATAATAATAAACCATTGTATGTAAATGTGAGCAGTGGCCTGTCACAGGCTGATGATGGTGAAAAAAAAAAACAAAAAATAACTATAGACGTTTTTTATGGCCCGTAAACGAGCAGACGGATCACCTGATGGTAAGCAATCGGCGCCGCCCATACACTCGAAACACCAGAAGACTGTTTGGGGATTAGGAATTTGAGGATTGTTGGGGATTGGGGAGATTTGGGAGCGGGTCTTCGGTAACCTCATTCACGCGACGAAACACAACACAAGTTGTTTCACGACAGTTTTCTGTGAGGCCGTGGTATCACTCCGGTCGAGTTGGCCCATTCGTGCCGAAGCATGACTCTCCCACACTTAAAACATACACAACTTACGTAATATAAGATGAAAGAAAAGAGACAATGAACCATTCAGTGCCTAATAATGAGTCCTTATTGTAGAAAATTCTTTTGTATTTGGTCAAAAAAGATAAAACATAAAGATTAACTAAAATCGCGGTTACTCACGTGAATATTCTGAGTAAAGCTCTACTAGTTTCGAACCACAGAGGGGTTCTTCCTCATGAGCAGCGTGCGCGGTCGCGGCCCCTGTGCAAGAACCCCTCTGTGGTTCGAAACTAGTAGAGCTTTTCTCAGTACATTCCCGTGAGTAACCCGCGATTTAAATTAATTTAGTATGTCTCACGACAGTTATTATAAAAACAAAATATACAGATATCAAATAAAATGAAGAATGAATCAATATTACGAGTAATTTATCACAGGGACTGATCTCTTTGTTACTTTATTTATATTGTACATACAATTACACACCGACCTATACAATACAAGTGTATCATGATCTCACATTGTATGATCTCTCCACATATTCAAGGGTCATTTTATACTGGTTGTAATAGCTTGATTTGAAACCGTTATTCAATAAGCTATAAAAACCAGTTATATCATGGTCTAGCATTGTATGATCCTTGCACATATTCAAGGATCATCTTATATTGGATATCATAGTTTGACGTGCAGCTGTGTACATCCATATTGATGATAGCTGTACCATTATTCATGGGTTCTTGATTTTATTGATGTTGTAAAGTAAAACGTGTTTTTGTGCGCCATTTTGTGAACATTTTTTAAGATAGCTTTCTTTTTATGGTTAAATTAGGTAATACAATGAGTGTCATGTTTGGATTTTTTACTTCTATTCATTAATTGTTAATTATTATTATGATCAGTGCCTTTAGCCAAACGCCACTTTAGCGCTTGTCTACAGAGAGAGTAGAAAACTAAATGTATGGGGATGACACTGACAAATGTCAAAATTTTCGTCAATCCTTTACTATTATAAATGGGAAAGTGAGTTTGTTTGTTTGTTTGTTCCGCTTTCACGCCGTAACCTCTTAACCGATTGCTTTGAATTTTTGCAGACGTAAAATTACAAGTCCGAAATAAATAATAGGGTAGTTTTTATCCCGGAAAATTTTAATATTCCCGAGGGAAAACAAAAGAATTGGTATAGATGGCGCTGTGTTTGGTACATGTCACATAGGCTACTTTTATCCTTTTGTGATGCGAGCGAAGCCGCAGGTAAAAGCTAGTTCCAAATAATTTGGTTTTCTATTCTATATGTAGATTAGCATTTGGCTACAGCTGCCTGGATACGATACATCTGGTTTTCTCTTTCTATTTTCCTTTAATATTGTCGATAGGCTCTGATATTCTAGACTCCGTCCAGACACTTAAGCTAAGGACTGACGACGCGATTTTCACCCCCGCCAGCCGCGGTTGCGGAATGGAATTATATTTTCTAAACCCTTAGCCTTAATGTTTCGCAATGAGATTGGTAAACAAGATAATATAATGAGTGGGTACTTTTTCCTGTTCATAAACCTCTTTCAATTATTATCTTCGTCTTTGAAGATATTCACCATTTATTAGATAAAATAATATTGACTGCCTCGTTGGTCGAGGGCAAGCGTATTAAGTTCGATTCCCGAGTCGGGTTAAGTATTACTGGGTTTTTAAAAAAAAGTCTCAGTAGTAGCACAGGGTGTGGAATTGCACCCAGTACATTGCAATAAGCTCACCTCCTATTACATGGGACTCATGACATAAATAGTGAAAAGTGGGGGTTATATTGTGCAACTCTACCTACCCCTTCAGGGATAAAAGGCGGGATATTATGTTATGTTATAAGATAATATTATTACAACAATATCAAGTACTTAATCTCTTTTATCTACTATTAAATTGTATCCCATTAATTCCTCCATTGCTTTCAAAAAATTTATAAGAATTTTCATAATTCTAGGTAACAGTCTTTGCTTGATACTTCCAGGACTGAACTAATGCGTGCAAAGTATATTTTAATGTACCTAATTCTTCGAAAGGATAACCTAGATCACGAAAGAGGAAAATGTATAGATATATCAAATAAAATATTCCTCGTGTCCTTTCTATTATAATGGTAGGTATAAAATGTAACATTATTTCAGTTTGATACTAAGAGGGTATTTTTGCTCTATATCACAAAGAATTTATGATAGTATTGAATCTTAAATAAAGTAGGCGGAATCTATATAGAGTATCGAAAAGCTTCCATCACATGTAAATATGAACCGATATTATTAGGTAGGTACCTATATTTCACTTGGCCAAATATTTCATGTCATTTCTGTCAGTCTATATAATTTTAACCCAGTCTTTAGACTTAAATGAGATCACTATCTTGTAAAAGCGATGGAAAAGGGCATAGGAAAATACATAACATCACGCCTTTTATCCCAGAAGGGGAATGCAGATGCACATCAATATCACTGTACAATGTAACACCCACTTTTCACTATTCATGTTATAGTCCCGTGTAATAGGGGGTGAGCCTATTGCCATATACCGGGCACAATTCTGGTATATGGCAATATGCTGAAAATAATCAAAATGACATATCACATACATTAACCAAAATTTCTCGTGTCGTTTCATTATAATCATATCTATAAATATATTTCAATAAAAAATATTTTTCGTTCGTTAGTCGCGCTAAAACTTGAAAACCGCTGAGCCGATTCGGCAAAATTTTTGTCTTGAAATCTTTGTGGAAGCCTTCCCTGGACATTTCAAGACCAAAATGGTTCTAAAAGGCCACCAGGTTTAAAAGGTAAAAACATGTTTTTACGCGGTGCGAAATCGCCGTTCAGCTAGTAAATAATACCCACTGTTTTGTTACCCCAAGGAAAATTTTTAATAAAATATACTACAAAGAGTTTCTTTCATTAAATTGTAATTCGCTTTCCATGTTCTATTTTTTCTGATTTCTGTGGATGTTCTAAATTAAGCTGTTGCTACCTTCCTTCCTACAACTTAAATAATATTTGGACCATATTTACCACAAAGGATACTAAGGAATTCCATGTTTAAACCGTCATCTTCAGGTATGCTCTGACAACGTCTGAATGTATTCATGACCAAAATTAAATGTTTAGAATTCATCTCCACCCAAATACCAACTTCAAAGCAAGCTTTCGTTGCGGATAAAATAACTATAAATAAGGTCCATCATTTTCATGATAGCTCTTACATTTTCAGCCACAAAAACACCTCTGAGTTACATCTAATAATCTCTACTGCAAATTCAGGCTTGGTAGGTTTTTTATGGGATAAACCGGTAAACGATTAGACGGTTCATCTGATTGTAAGCAATTAATCGTTGTTCATGGACACCCGGAACATTAAAGGCGTTACAAGTGCGTTACCGGCCTTTTGGGGATTAGAAATTTGAAGATTGTTGGGGATTCAAGGATTGGTGAGATCGGGGATGGGGGGCGGGTACTTGGGCCTCCAATAACCTCACTGATACTACGAAACACAACGCAAGCTTATTTCTTGTCGGTTTTCTTTGATGACGTGGTATCACTTCGGTGGAGCCGGCCCATTCGTACCGAAGCATGGCTTACCCACTTTTAAGTTTAAGGTTGGTTTGTTTCGGGTTGAATTGAAATGACCTTCAAGTATTCGTTTTTAAAATAATTGTATAACTCTTCTGGTCTTACATGGGATCCCCCTAATCAGACGATTTGTCTTCTTTGTTGGGCTCTATGTCTTAAAAATGAAATGCTAGTAGGTATTATGGTTGATATTCAAAAATTAACGCTTACTTTCCATTTGTTTCAGAATTGGACCTGGACTATTTGGAGCGAGGTGGTGGGGGTACCCTGACGGTGGGCGGGGCTCCAAGCCTGGAGCCCAGTCCCGACAGCCTCGATCTCGTCAAAGTGGTGCTGCTCGGAGCACCTGCTGTTGGGAAAACTAGTATTATACAGGTGAATAGAGTTTTGTCTTTGTTTATTTATGTGTGTACAGTGGCCAGAAATTGTTCTTACTTCAATTTATTTTTATTGATTTTTTGACTTTAGGTATCAAAACATTTAAGTTGAAAAGCTAGTAAAGAGATAAAAGGGAATATTTTGGGATAAAAGATTTGTATTACAGACCAGTACAAAAAACAATTAAATATAGTACACCAGAAACATTATTATCGGCCCAGCTATTGATCATGCCAATAATGCCCGGGCCACACCAACAAAAAATGCCATTGCTTATCGCGATAATGCACGTTCACCGTAGGTGCCACGTGTCAACGCGATAATTTGACAACGGCATTCATATTGTCGTTTGGCATGATGGGCACTCGCGTTGAAATTTCAAGTGTAGTGCCACCTACTTTATCGCTTTAAAATTATCGCAATAATTTCGTAGTAAACATCGCGATAATCGGCATTGACGTTGATGTTAGTGTGACCCCGGCATAATCTTTAAGATATAGCTGATTTTTAATTTTCTACGCGTTTCGCAACGTCTGCACGCGCCGCGGTGACTTTCTCGGAATACTGCTCATGAATATGAGCCTCTAGTATGACTTGAAACTAGTCGAGTTCCTCGTTAAACAATTACGTTAAGCCGAAAACATACGACTAACAAAACTTTTATTATAAACACAACCTTCTTTCTTGTAACCAGCGTTCTGCTCAGTAGTCCTCTATGACCAATGGTTCCTGTAGTCTTTACTGAATCAATTTACTTACCTCTAATAGATCACGATAAAAAACCAAACATATTTCAAATTTTTAAACAGAAAAGAAGGTAGTTACTAATCAATTTCAATGGGTAGTAATAAAAGCTCCGACAAGAAAAAAAGAATTGTCCTTACTGAAAATATTAAATCTACTGCCTAAAATACTAACTTTCCGACTACTTTACATGACTGTTTATTGCTACAATATTAACCTAACCTAACCTAAAAAGTCTGTTGTCGGTAGCTTAGTAACTTTGTCGGAGGTTCAATATTCTGTTCGGAAGTTTAGCTTTGTGATTCGAAGATCCATTGTTATAGTCGGCCACAGATCGCTGGAGATGAATTTGTTTTTCGGAACCATTATTATTTTCCAATTTCAATTAAACAATAATCTTAAAAACACCACAAAACATAATTCATTCCCCACCCAGCAACAATACGTAACAGAATAAAGCCTTCAACATTCAACCACCACGAAATATATTCAGAATAAAAGATTACCACCGTCAATGTAGTTCACATACCAATGACTCGACATATTTTCCGATTCATTAGCTATGCGTACGATTTCAGGATTTGAGGCGTGAAAAATGGATCCCACATTACCACGATTTCCATCTAGCCTTTTAATATTAATATAAGTATACAGAACATTCGGTAGATATTATTCTGTACGTGGATTTTTGCTATTGAGATCAATGATAAATAAAAAGGTTTAGATAGATTACCTAAACCACATTCGATCTTCATAATAGCGCACTAATACACACATGAATACGTTGACAACGTAACGCAAGTCTGAAGTGAAATGTGGCCAATAGGGTAGACGAGTAATTTTTATTTTATAATCTGTCTGGTAGAATATTTAAAAACAATACACACGTATTTTTTATTTTCCTCTGGAAACACACAATATTTTCGACGATATATTGCTTTAAAATATCGCGTGACGTCACTTCTAGGTATCTTCCATCAATTCCTCCTCCATTCATTGACGTTCGATGTGAACAGACGTGTGCATTATACATACTGTTGAATTAACGCAAGAGTGACCTACTAAATTATTTTTGATTAGTTTGAAATTTAGTATTTTATATAATGGAAACATAATCATATTTGAATAAAAATGGATAAAATCCCGAGCAACCTGGCTTCCTGTGCCTCACCAATAGAAAGCAGCCGTAAATCTGACTTCTCTATAGAAGCTGTGTCCACGCCCGACATTCAGAACTGGATGGCAAGCATTGAACAGCAGTTAAATGAAGTATGTGTCATTGCAACGGAAGGCAAACTGAATTCGGAGCAAAAGCTTAGAATATCAAACCTGAGCCGTAAAATTGGAGCTGATGTCTCGCAAATGGCTGTCCTTTATCAAGCTCTGAAGCAGCAAGCTCGCCTAGCCGTCAACATAATGGATGAGTTGAGAGAAAACTGTGACCTATCGGAACAAATTGACGAGATTAAAAAATCTCTCAAGGACTCAACTACAGCCAAGACTGTGTCTTTTGCGGACATGGTGAGAAAAGGATCCGATTTCGTTCGACCAAACAATCTGGCCTCTGTCGCTGTGTATCCAGCCAATAAATTGAAAACTAGCGAGGAAACTAAAACTATGGTGCAAACAATTATAAGTCCTAGTGAGATGAAGCTGCGCGTGCGTGGAGTCCGCAAGACACAAAACGGAGGTGTAATAATCAGCACTGAGTCGAAACAGGATGCTGAAAAAGTGAAGCAAGCAGTTGGCCTGTCGTTATCCGGTCTTCTCGCAGACGAACCAAAGAAGCGCAAACCACGAATCGCAGTAATAGGAGTGCCGTCGACAATGACAGATGCTGACGTCTTCAGGTATATTTATGACCAGAACGTATCTGACAAGCTCCCGGAGATGACAATGGAGTGTTTTTTAACATCAGTCAAGCTAAGTCACAAATCGGGAAGAAAGGATGCGCCGACCTGCAATTTCATCATCGAAGTTCCAGGCAAGATACGTAAAGCCCTTATATCTCAAGAGAGAATTTATATCAATTGGACTTCCTGCCCCGTTAGAGACTTTACGCTTGTAACGCGATGCTACAATTGCCAACTATATGGACACGCAGCAAAATCATGCAGAGAGATCAACTCATCGTGTGGCCACTGCGGAGAAGCAGGACATGTACAATCCTCGTGCACTAAAAAGTTGGAATCCCCTAAATGTGCTACATGCTCTCGTTACAATAAGCCCAATAAACATAAAACCGGAGACACTGACTGTCCGGCTAGGAAAATAGCTGAATATAGGTATATCAACTCTATCGATTATGAGGACGCGTAAAGTGTCATATTCTCAGATTATAGAGTTGATTAGCCTTTCCTTGCACATTAATTAACAATTTGTTGCTGTTCAAGCATATTTTATTGTGACATCGAGTGAATGACCGTTTGGACTGTAAACTAGATTATGTTTCTGTTGATGTATCAAATTCTTCAGTACTATAGTTCCTACAATGTTTTATATAAATATATATGTATCTCTATCTATGTTTTGCAATTAAGCTAATATAATTACTTGTTTAATAAATGTACTTTTACGATAATATTAATATTTAGTTACCTATCATGATATGTAGTTATGTACGTGTGTATGTATGTATGTATATTAAATAATCAACTTTACTTTAATTTTGATCGATTACTTATGTTAAGGAATTTGTTTATATAAATAACTTGTCCTAGAATTAGTAATATTGTGAGTGCTCCTTTCGCCTGTGATACAGGATATTCTTCCTAGTACAGGCATTCAAACCTAGTGAGATCTCTGATTTTAAATTAAGATGTTTATCTGTACCATGACCAATTTCTTATAACGAATAAAGATTTATTATTTAAAGATTTATTTAAAGATTTAAATTTCAAGTGAGGGAGAGCCATGCTTCGGCACGAATGGGCCGGCTTGACCGGATTTGTTCCAGTCCAGGTGACCATGGGCGACGCAGATTGCTTATCATCAGGTGATGCGCGTCGTTTAGCGGCTTATCCCATAAAAATAGAAATGACGTTGTAACTCCCACTTCTAAACTTTGATTCCTTTTATCTAAGAAGGTATTTTTCTTATACGACTAAATAAAAAATATATGTCGAATATTTTATCATCACGTAACTGACGGACTAATTAGTTTTTTAATTTTCGTACCCTGTCATCACCTCTATTATAATTGTCCACATTTTAATGTACCACTGTCTGGGCGGTTATAACCTATCTAAGTAAACCTTTTTACGTATAAAATCGTAGCAGTGGAATTTATGGAAAATTCTTTTAAGTAGAGGAGCCAATAGTGCTATATAGGACTGTCACAGATTATTGTTGATGACGAATGTAGTCCACATACTAGGTATTAGTACAAAGTTTATAGTTAGTATTAGTTATACATATAGTTAGCATTATATAGTTCGGTATTTGCATCTCATTGACATAGGAATTTTGAGTTTTCAAAGATATTCCATATCAGTTTTCAGCATTCCTAAACTAACACGTGTTACGTGTGAAATACCCTACTTTTCATTTTTTCGATTACATAAAACTATTTCTTATTTATTTGCCTTTGGTTCGTCCTGTAAGTACATTTTCGAAATTTCGAAGACAAATCCATCTTCCAAGAATACATTTTCTTATTTACTCACTTTTTCACGATCCACTAGAGAAAATGCCTCGGGATACAATATTTGATCCGTCGCAACCCAAATAGAAATATAGACTGGGGAGGTTTTAATAAATCTTCAAGTAGACCTTTTAGAAAACTAGAACTTTATATAAGTTTCAAGAACTTGTACAATGGGATTTCTTTACACAAAAGAGTATGCTATAAAATGCCACTACATAGTATAAAACAAAGTCGCTATCCGCCGTCTGTCTGTCCCTATATATGCTTAGATCTTTAAAACTACGCAACCAATATTGATGCGATTTTTTTAAATGGATAAAATAATTCTTAAGAAACGTTTATATGTATACATGCATATTGCACTCGTGCGAAGCCGGGGCGGGTCGCTAGTAATATTATAAAATAGTATGAATACACATCTATCTAACTAAGGATATTGAAAAATGGCGGACATAATTTCTAGAAACAACGACTTTGGCGCCTGGATACCATAGAACACTCAGAACATAAACACATTGACACGAAGGACACCTGTCATTTTCTTCAGTCTAGTAACAAAACCCATTACACACGCACACATAAATAAAACTACTGACATGTTAGTGCC